GGGCAGGTGTGTGAGGAGGGGGCAGGTGTGTGGGGATGGGCAGGTGTGTGAGGAGGGGGCAGGTGTGTGAAGACGGGGCAAGTGTGTGAGTTCTGTGCAGTGTTGAGGCCTTTGGAGGTCAGCTTCACCACTTCCAAGTGAAGACGCTGAGAGCGGGTCTGGCCATGTTCAGATCGAGGGGTGCCGGCTGGACGAGGAGAGACTTGGGTGCCAGTGGGGTTGCAGCTTCGCGGGGACCAGGACGAACCAGGAAGTGCCCAGACGGCAGGCATATCCCAGGAAGGCTCTGGTTAGGGGCCCGGGACAGAGCTGATGAGGAGGGAAGCAGGACTGAGGAGGGGGGGCGGCACAGGGGACACGTCCACACCTGCCCCCTCGTCGCCTCAGCTGCATGGAAAGGTCGACGTTAGCAACAAGGGGAACGGCACCAGGTAGTAAGTGTTCAGAGCTTCTCACAATGTCTGACCCGGGAGAGGTGATGACATTCAAGATTCTTAAGTGGATGAAGAGTCCGGTGGAAAGAGGAATAGCATCGCCCACCCCACTGCGACCTCGTTTCCATAGTTACTATCAGCACAAACAAGCAAGAAGAAGGTACTCAGAATAACTTCCCTTCACACACATCACACCATTTTCACAACAGATTCATGTGGAGTTTTGTTTCAGGCAAACACAACACCTGCTTTATCTTATCTCCATCCTTAGTGCCTGAGCGTTTACACACAACACACATCGAATGGTTTGTTTTTTAAAAATCTTCAACCTGATTGCCTAAGTTCATGGAGTAAAGCACTGATGTGGGTACATGTGAGGTGTGTGCATGTGTGCGCGCCTGTTGCTCCCAAAGTAGAGAGATGGAAGAGGAAGACTTGTCCTTTGTGATGCTGGCTGAAATGCTCTTCATTCTCTACTTTAGAGAAATCCCAAACGTTTGGGATGTTCCCATGATTACACAGAGGATGGTTCAGAATCACTAATTTAAACACATCCCTTTGCAGACATAGATTTGCATGAACTATGACTCTCTCTGAGGGATGGAACCTGTTCCCAATATTATTTTTGCGCCAAGATGAGATCCCCCTTCGGAGTCAGTTTCCCCCTTTAATGTCAGCTCAATGCATTTACGGAAAAGTGCCTTAAGCATTTGGGGTGGGCAGGAGCCATCCTTCTGGTTGGCTGTCC